ATCTTCCTACATACAGTTCTATGTCAGACTACAGCCATCTTCCCAGTGTCTAGAGCTCTATGTCTGACTACAGCCATCTTTCCAGTCTACAGCTCTATGTCTGGCTACAGCCATCTTCACACAGTCTATAGCTCTATGTCTGACTACAGCCATCTTTCCAGTCTACAGCTCTATGTCTGGCTACAGCCATCTTCACACAGTCTATAGCTCTATGTCTGACTACAGCCATGTTCCCAGAGTCTACAGCTCTATATCTGACTACAGCCATCTTCCCACAGTCTATAGCTCTATGTCTCCCTACAGCCATTTTCCCACAGTCTACAGCTCTATGTCTGACTACAGCCATTTTCCCACAGTCTACAGCTCTATGTCTGACTACAGCCATCTTCCCACTGTCTACAGCTCTATGTCTGACTACAGCCATCTTTCCAGTCTACAGCTCCATGTCTGCCTACAGCCATCTTCCCACAGTCTACAGCTCTATTTCTGACTACAGCCATCTTCCCACAGTTTACAGCTCTATGTTTGACAACAGCAATCTTCCTACTGTCTACAGCTATATGTCTGACTATAGCCATCTTCCCACAGTCTACAGCTCTATGTCTGACAACAGCCATCTTCCCACAGTCTACAGCTCCATGTCTGATTACAGCCATCCTCCCAGTCTACAGCTCTATGTCTGATTACAGCCATCTTCCCATAGTATTACAGCTCCATGTCTGACTACAGCCATCTTCTCACAGTCTACAGCTGTATGATTGACTACAGCCATCTTCTCAGTCTACAGCTCTCACCTGACAACAGCCATCTTCCCACTATCTACAGCTCTATGTCTGACTATAGTCATCTTCCCAGTCTGTAGCTCTATGTCTGACTACAGCCATCTTCACACAGTCTACAGCTCCATCTCTGACTACAGTCATCTTCCCACTTTCTACAGCTCTATGTCTGACTACAGCCATCTTCCCAGTCTACAGCTCTATATCTGACAACAGCAATCTTCCCAGTCTACAGCTCGATGTCTGACAACAGCCATCTTCCCAGTGTCTAGAGCCCTCATCTGATTACAGCCATCTTCCAACAGTCTACAGCTCTCATCTGATTACAGGCATCTTCCCAGTGAACAGCTCTATGTCTGACAACAGCAAACTTCCCAGTCTACAGCTTTGTCTGACTACAGCCATCTTACCCCAGTCTACAGCTCTATGTCTGACCACAGCAATCTTCCCACAGTCTAGAGCTCTATGTTTGACCACAGCTATCTTCCCAGTCTATAGCTCTCGTCTAATTACAGCCATCTTCCCACTCTATAGCTCTCCTCTGACTACAGCCATCTTCTCACTGTCTACAGCTCTATGTCTGACTATAGCCATCTTCCCATAGTCTACAGCTCTATGTCTGACTACAGCCATCTTTTCAGTCTACAGCTCTCATCTGACCACAGCCATCTTCCCACTATCTACAGCTCTATGTCTGACTATAGCCATCTTCCCAGTCTACAGCTCTATGTCTGATTACAGTCATATTCCCAGTCTACAGCTTTGTCTGACAATAGCCATCTTCTCACTGTCTAGAGCTCTATGTCTGACCACAGCCATCTTCCCACAGTCTACAGCTCTATTTCTGACAACAGCCATCTTCCCACAGTCTACAGCTCTATGTCTGACTATAGGCATCCTCCCAGTCTACAGCTCTATGTCTGACTACAGCCATCTTCCCACACTCTACAGCTCCATGTCTGACTACAGCCATCTTCCCACAGTCTACAGCTCTATGTCTGACTACAGCCATCTTCTCAGTCTACAGCTCTCATCTGACAACAGCCATCTTCCCACTATCTACAGCTCTATGTTTGACTACAGCCATCTTCCCAGTCTGCAGCTCTATGTCTGATTACAGCCATCTTCTCACAGTCTACAGCTCCATGTCTGACTACAGCCATCTTCCCACAGTCTACAGCTCTATGTCTGACAACAGCCATCTTCCCACTATCTACAGCTCTATGTCTGACTATAGCCATCTTCCCAGTCTACAGCTCTATGTCTGACAACAGCCATCTTCCCAGTCTACAGCTCTAGGTCTGAAAACAGCCATCTTTCCACAGTCTACAGCTCTCTGTCTACAGTCATCTTCCCACAGTCTACAGCTCTCCTCTGACTACAGCCATCTTCCCACAGTCTACAGCCCTCATCTGATTACAGCCATCTTCCCAGTGTACAGCTCTATTTCTGACCACAGCCATCTTCCCACAGTCTAGAGCCCTATGTTTGACCACAGCTATCTTCCCAGTCTATAGCTCTCATCTAATTACAGCCATCTTACCAGTCTATAGCTCTCCTACAGCCATCTTCCCACTGTCTACAGCTCTATGTCTGACAATAGCCATCTTCCCAGTGTCTACAGCTCTATGTCTGACTATAGCCATCTTCCCA